CTTCCTTGTTCAGGTCATTGGAGGAGTTGAGTCGGCCGCGTATCCTCTTGCCAAGAAGCAGCATAGTAGAGAGTTCCTCCGTGAGATCGCCCATCTCAGACCCAGGACCAACCTCATTGGTGCTGTCGCTCGTGTGAGGTGAGTGACCTCTGACGTCCGCGGCCTGCTTGGGTTATGTCCTCCCCGTAGATCGTCCTTGAGTGGTGCTGTTCATGCCTTCTTTATGAGCCGCGACTTCAAGTATGTCCATACCCCCCTTATCACGAGTGCTGATTGCGAAGGTGCGGGTGAAATGTTCCAGGTAGGGACATACGGGTCTTGTGCTCTGAGGATGGTTCGCTCAGGTGACCTCGTTGTTGCAGAAGGCCGAGGGTGCTCATCAGGACGTCAAGATTGACTCCAACACTGGCCGCTTTGAGTGAGTTCTATCTGTCTTATCTACAGTGGATATCGCTTCCCCGCGATGTTCAGCTACAAGCAAGACTTCTTTGGTCGTCCTACGTATCTTACAGTGTCTGGTCAGCTGAATGTAGAGAACTACGCTTGTGCGTTGTCGGATGTGTATACCTTTGGTCCTTGTTTCCGTGCTGAGAACTCACATACTTCTCGGCATTTGGCTGAGTTCTGGATGATCGAGCCCGAGCTGTGCTTTGCTGATATCCACGATAACATGAAGTGTGCTGAGGAGTTCATCCAGCACTGCGCTCGCCATGTTTTAGGTAATATTCATAGAATATCTTAGCTTTAATAATAACGATATAAATTGGGAGCTGATGCGAAATCACGAAGCTGGTGATTGAGTCGTCGACCGAGTTGGTGGGGTTAGTAGACGTAACACGTGAGGAAGGCGTCTCGAAACCCATAGATTTGATGCTGATATCATCTCGTCTCGAACACAGCGGAGCGAAGTGTTTCACGATGTTCATTTTTTGTGGATATTTTGATTGTCAGCTCATTGTCGAGAGGACATAGCATTCTTTGACAAGTTCATCGAAAAAGGCCTCATCAAGCGTCTTGAGAACCTGATCGCTGAGCCCTTTGCCAGAGTCAGCTACACTGAAGCCATCGATAAGCTTTTGAAGGCTCAGAAGAACGGCAAGGTAAGATATTTGCAAGTTGCACTCGTTGGCAAGTCGATCGTTTCAGGCTAAGTTCGAGAACACCAACATCTATTGGGGTTTTGATCTGGACTCTGAGCACGAAAGGTGTTGTGGGGTTGACGGAGTCGGTTGGGTATGGCTAGGTTAGGTACCTCACAGAGAAGATCTATAAGAAGCCAGTTATTGTATATAACTATCCTGCTGCTATCAAGGCATTCTATATGCGAGCTAATGAAGCTGATGAGGATGAATCCAAGCAGACTGTGGCTGCTATGGACATCCTTGCTCCTCTAGTGGGCGAGGTGAGGTTGAGGGGGATTTACTATTATCTTATTATTCGAATGTGACAGGTATGCGGAGGTTCTGTTCGTGAGGAACGTCTTGACGTTTTGGATAAGAAGCTATCTGATCTCAACATGGACGCTGAGGACTACTGGTGGTACCGCGATCTCAGGTGCGTACCGGTTAACTTTTCGAGTTGCCTGGAGGCTAGTGTCTCTTCACCTCAGACGTTTTGGGAGTGTTCCTCATGCCGGCTTCGGCATAGGGTTTGAGCGCCTGATCATGATGATGACCGGAGTTGAGAATATAAGGGATGTCATCCCCTATCCAAGG